AAAAGCGCTTCATAGTGATGCCTAATCGTAAGCTGCGGGAACGACCTGAAACTGGAGGTGGGAAAGCAAGAACATTATTCGTCTGGAAACGCCAAAATCTAGGGCGCTTTACCTTCAATAACGGATATATTGTACAATGGACGAGGCGGCGATCAAAGACAAAACACGCGAGAGAGCACGTTGTTCGAGAGAGCACGCTGATCTCTATATCAACAGCGGTGGGTGGGAAGCGTTGCAGCGAGGGTCGATGGTTGCAGGTTCGTAATGGATTAGCGCCCTAATCGCGCAATTTGGGCAACGAAGCTGGTGTGATCTATGAGGTACGGACTCCACAATTCCCCTCGTGGTGTCCTTCCAACTAGGGGGGGGCTAATCCCGGGGTTTGCCTTTAAACTAATATGCAAAATTGTGATCGCAATCTAATGTGGCTTGACCTTTCCAATGAGTTGTGGAAGCAATAATGCAAGAACTATTGCCAACGAATCAACCGACCCGAAAGGTATAAATGACTTGGTTAATTCGGAACTGAAGCTGGATTTTGCGATCGGAACGTCGACATGATAACCAGTGACACTTGCCCTACACAACCCCTGTCAGAAGGGTAATATCGAAGGGGAACCGAAGATAATGAAAGGGAGTCAGCTGCATAAAAAAGAGGCTATAGAGAAGCAGTGCATAATGAACATTTCCGAGAAGTACAGGAATGTTTTTAACAATAAAGATGAGAGAAAAGAAGGAGGGAAAGAGAACTAATCACTTGCAGACAAGGCCTTCTGAATATTTATAGAGTGGTAGGATGAGAAGTGACTGGAAACCCCTTGGAATCATTATCTATCAAAATTCGTACATTACTCATAGTACTGAAGTATCCTCTCTGACAAAAGCGATCAGGATGGCCAAGAGAAGACCACGAGGTGCTCGACGACGAAGCAGTACACTTGAAAATATCCCCAAATTTCCAATTACCATTTACGATTAACCTATGCAGCAATTTCAACAGTTTTTCAATGTGTTTTACAAAATTAACACTGAAAAATTGACCAAGGTATTCTTGCAAGGTTATTTGCTCCGCATGAACGCCAGAAAAAAACTCGGGTGCAGGGTCAACCCTTCGCACTATTCGGACGAGAGGGGGGGAAGGGTGCGCATTCGTTATTTCAGGAAGGGGGAGGGTATTTTGGGGTAGAGCAAGCTTATCATTGTGCGAACGGAGGTCCATGAGCCGTTGAAGGTGGTTGTGTATGGACGGGTTTATTGACTAATTTGGTGAAAGTTTTACGAAAGTGGTGAGAATTAGGCAAAATGCAAAACCGGCGGACTTGCCGCTTCATGATAGCAAGTTATATCCTCTCGCCCCCCCCCCCTCCGCTCCACTGCCGTTTTGAAGGAGAAAAGGGCGTAGCTGGGCTGTGTTGAGTGCAGAACCAGAACGGCCCACTTTGGTGTCACAACATTTCACCAGTTTTTCAGTCAAAGTCTATTTTTTGCGCGAATTTTGAAACGTCAACTCGAAATGCAAAAATTTGTCACCACGAGGAATCGAACTAGGGACCCCCTTTTCTGGTATTCAGAGGGCCGTTCAGGAAAAATTAACATGGTTCTGTGGTTCCCGCATGTGCCCCTATATCATGCAAAAACCGTTTTCAAAAAGCTTGGCACGCCCTGAAAGACCTTCCTGGTTAGAATCAAATACTGTAGAATAGCCATGTGGTGAGGGTGGTGGTCGTAGCCTTGCGAATGATGGTGAGAGTCCCATGGAGACCCCCGAAAAGGAGGAGGGCCGCGAAATTCTCGTAAAAGTGCGAGGATTACGGTTGACCCTGCTCGGGTGTGGTCTTGGTCGTTGAAGGCACGGGTCTGCTTTCAACTCTCAACAGCATATTTCACGATTAGTAATATGTATAGAATAAATTAATATAGGATAAATAAATTAATATAGGATAATTCTTAGCAAGGTAACATTATTCTCTGAAAACAACCCAAAATGGCAGCTTCAAAACCCCAAGAATTCATGGATGATTCCTGTTTGGGTCTATTAGATACTGTTTGTGGAAACCTAGCAGATGAAATAAGCTCATGAGAAAAACAGTTCAGGACAGAGGTTATGCACCGAATTTGGAGTATTGGACGAGCTTCCTGGATAGTTGGTAATAAATTTCCAGCAAAAGATGCACTGAACGTGCCATTCATATTGAAGACGGATATATCTCACTAAGGCGTTCCCAGGAAGTGTTTACGTACACGCTGTCGACAACATAAAACGCGTTCGTTGAACGCATCGTCATCGTTGAAGTGTGAAATAATGGCGTAGTAGAGAAGACCGAGCAAGTACACCCTCGGGACCCTCGAGGGACCATACAAACTGCACGTGTCAGCCATCCACATCAGCGCATTATCTTGATAGAGCTTCGTCGTCCGTCGTCGCCCATGATGGCTGCTGCCTGTTGCAGTGATGATGGCCAATTGAGCGCAGATTCGGTAGGCAGAAAAGGGCTCATGGAAAATTTCTAGCGAGATTTCGCAAATCGCTCTCGACTTCTCAAGCATTAGAGCTCACTCAAACGACGCTCGTATTTCACACCATTAACTGGTTTCCGTTCGCATCGGCTACGCTGGGAGTAGAACCAAATGGCCTACGTTCCAGAGTTCAACGGCTCACAGTCAAAACCCTCAGAAAGAGACTCAAAACAAAATAAAAACAAAAATGTGGGGAAGTACCCAAGCCATATTTTTACGAAATATGAAAATGAGCCTTTCTGCTTGTTAAGAGTGGTGCAGAAGTGGCCAATTGTAGGATGCATACATCACCAACAAGGGAAGGATTCCATGTCGCCATGGCCATTCAATAAGAGATATATACAACTAGGCGTGCAAACGCTGAAAACAAATTTTCTTCCGAATCCGCTAAACGATACCCTGAACGGAGTTGTGAAGCAGCGGTAGTGGTCGAGACCCTCAGTCAAAGGTATTATAGAAGGATCGATCCATTATCGTGTTTACCGCTTCGCTTTTTTTCGGCAATACGGCTCAATGGGCTGTTAAAAGTCTTTGTTGTATTTTGAAATAAGCAAACCAGAAGACATGATAAGGATAGCTCCCACGATTGTAGAACCCGACCACCACTGTTGTGATTTTCTGCTTCACAACTCCGTTCGCGGATCGTTCAGTAGATTATGTTATAAGCGTTATCAAAGTGCCTCTAAGGAGCGTAATAACCATCTGGTGCTCTGTAAACATGGCGACTTTGACTCTTCTTATAAGTCTATAGACGCTTATGCTAGCAAGGCTCTTCCGTCAAACCTTAATAGACGACTGCAGTGACATGGGCATACGAAGAAGTTCCACCGCCATTTTTGGAAGGAACTGATCGCACTTTGATTACCCCTTGCGAATGTAGTTACAGACCTGAAGAAGAGCACTGTCTTGGCCCCATTTGATTAACGCTATACCTGCGAACCAGAGCGACGATCGAGGTTGGATAAAAATGGAATGGAAGCGACGGCTCACTCAGATAGTACCCGAGTGGCGACCTTCATACCCGACAATCCCAGACAAAAAAAAGTCTGTCTTTCAGCCTCACAATTCTAGAATGTCAACGATCCACGATTTTTGGAGACATCCAAATTTGAGTTGGTAACAATAAGATTTGGTTCGGAGAAAAAATTCCTCAGCGCAGTTCCATTTTTTAAAAGGAGGTAGCTTCAGGGGTAGAGTATTTCGCCATACTTTCTAGCTGTGAGAAATAAAGGCAAGCGAGTAGCTCAGAAAAAAGCATTATTCCATGCATCCCTTAACTATTCAAAGAACGCTAATTTAACCCATTGCGGACCGCCGTTATAATTGCACCTCCGTAGGTTTTTGTCATCTCTTTTATCAGTGGCCAATAATCTATCGAAAATTTAACCAGTACGCAAGTACTTGATATATCCTGTGTCTGAAAAAGCAAACTGCTGATTTTGTAACTTAGCAAAATGTTGAAAAAATCGAAGATTACTATCCTTCTCCGCAAGGTGGCGTGCTGCACATGGTGCAGCACGCGGTCCGCAATGGGTTAAAGAAAATCATTGCAGTGGTGCAAATGGAAATATAAGAGATCCTGCAATTGATTCATAATGATTCGGAAAGTTGCTACCATATCAAAGATAATCAAAACGTACAAGCATGCCAGTGAGCAATCTGAGTCTGGGACTATGCGCCCCACGCGCGCTCCCCATGGCTCCATGTCAAAATAGCTCGCTTTTGTCAAAGCAATTTGGCCGCTGCTCAATAGATCATGACCACATTAATCTACGCAATATATGTGCTGTCTCTCTTTCACAAACGATCTGGTACCAATGCACCAGCGATGCAAATGGCATGGCTGTCGAAGCGTACTTAGGCCCAAAACCAACTACAGCCGCTACCATAGGAGGTAAGCGCGCCATTCGCGCAGTCACTCACCCCTCTATTTCAAATATCATAGGAAGCCTTACACCCCGAGTTTGCCGCAAGAACCAATAATTGTTATAGCTGAATATGAACCTAAAATTGGAAACAACAGAATACGTCAGTCTCCAGGAAACTATTATAAAAATGAAAATAATCAACTAGAAGGTAGTACATACAAGCTAGAATAGTGAATACGATAGCAGCCCCTGAACTGTCTAGTCGAGAAATTTTTTTCCAAAGTGATGTTTATGCAAAAGCACTTGCAGATTCACAGTAAGAACAAATTGAAGCAAGTTCACCATGAGACAAATTGGCGCAGAAAACTTCATATCAGAAAAAGACAAGGATCAGTCAAGAAGAAGCCTATTAAGCTGAAAATGAGTCTCCAATCAAGGCAGTGTAAAAGGTAACGCAATAAAATAACATCGTACCTATCGAGAGAGAACTTTCAAAATGGGCTACGAAAAATGTGAAGAGCAATCGAGTATAGGGATTTAATTGATAACGCGATTTTAATGTGAAGGCCGGAGTTTTGAGCCGAAATTGCTGCACGCAACCAGCGCTAGGGGGTTTCATGTTTTGTTTAGTGCAAAAAGAGTAACTTTCAGTTGTAGACAGCCTGAAAATGTATCGCAGTAGACTAGCCTGAAAGACCTACAAGCCATAAACGTTATACAGCTAGTTTACAAAACAGATTCGCGATAATAGTTAAAATTAGTAGTAAAAGATGTTTGACACAGGACCTGGGTTTGAACATAGACTGTTAGCCCAGCCGGCGAGATCCGAACCCGCACCTAGTAAAAGTAATAGCAGCAGAAAAAGAAATGGAAAAGAAGAAAAGAGGGAAAAATGTGAAAAATGGACTGCAAAGTTACTTAGCTGAGGGTCCTAAATTTTTCAAAAAAAATAGTAATGTTATCCTAAACAATTAAAAATCAATTTTTCATTCGTTAGCTTAAACTGTCATTATCAAATACCTGCGCAGCGCTTGAAAAGGAGACAACCAGTTAACCTAGATAAATGCGATGGAGAACGGCCCTACTACTCTGCAAAATCGTAAAGCGACAATCCTCTGTCCAAACGTACAACCGCCATCCGAAGACGTCGTCAACTACAAGCAACCGAAAACAATCAACTAACACAGCAAATTAATAACGAAAACAAAATTTTTATGTGCGCAAGTTTAAGACGCCAAATGTCGGCTCTATTTCTCTATGAGTGATTTCTAAAAAATCCAGAAACTAAAGGGAAAGGCAGACATAAACGAAACTAACCCCCAATTTCCCTGGATGATGGTCTAACCCTTTAAAATCCTCTACAACGCCGATTTTTCAACAAACAACCTAGCCGCGAAAAGTTTTTTGAAAGTGCTACTACAAAAAAAAACTCACCAACGACATCTCCTAATGAAGGCGTTCCAAGGCCACCCTTGAACAAAAACGGTGGTCCGAGACGGCTACAACCATCTGACAAATCGCCGAATTGATGAATAAGGACAGCATGCTCACCACGAGGGAGACCGACTGAGTTACTCCTAAAGACCTAGGGTACTGTAGTGGCAGACACCCGGCAAACATTTTATGACAGCAAAGTCACAGCTCAATCTCACCGCTAATTATTCGAAGATTGTTGGCGGCACTGTATGTCTGCGTAAAGAACTGAAGCGTCCAGGGCTGCGTCACTCACAGGGCTTTATTTATTGCTGAATGCTAGAAATAGGATATTCTCTGGTCCGTGCGAGCTGAAAGGATAAGTTTGTGAAAAATCAATAAACACTGGTTCTAAGATTAAGAAATGAACAAAAAAGCTTAGCACCAACACCTGGCTGATGCAGGTATAAATACGGATCTTTTGGCGTTACGCGATGACGGGACTCCTCATCGTTGCTCGTTGGTTCGTCATCTACTTTGCTGAATCAGCAAAAAAATTCAGTGCGTGTTCTATGAGCAACTCAAAACGACCCAGGCGGCTACATAACAGAATATTTCACAAAATGTGCCAATAGTCGCACAATAGTAGTTCAATCAAAATCTAAGATATTTGAAGTGGAATTGGTTCCATATGATGACGTACAACCGCTGTTTTGTTTTTAGCAAAGCCTGCTTAGACACAGAAAATGGCCAATTATCCGGATAGAACAAGTCGTAGCCGCTTTCAAATGATGTGCACAATTTTCCCTCGAACATTTCAAATTCTTGATTTCAGATTTTTATACTCTTCAAGTGTAGTAACACATTAGGATGATCACAGAGAAACCGGTAGAATTCCAAGTCTAGGACCCAAAAATTCATATAGTATACAAATATATACACATCAGATAACAGCAATACAGTTATCCATTCATCTATCGCCATCTGCCTATCATTTCAACGGACTTTTCCTAACTAAGGAACTGAAGCATGAATAGAAAAATTTATTCAAAATAAGAGACACTGGCACTGAATGAAATCTCGGATCGGACAACAAAAACTAATCATTTTTTGGATAACCAGGCACTACCTAATAGAAGGAGGGCGTACTGTGGTGACAATCGCTGAAGCGAGCGAAGAACGCGGGGAGGCATTGTTATAGCCTCTCCAAGTCAGAAAACATGGAAATGAAGCCCTATGCCGATGGAGCAGAGATTCTAGGTGTGAGAGCATTATTTCCATTTTCAACCGAAGCTCTTGCTCCCTCTAACAATCGGTCTAAAATATGACTCCTTTAACTGCGATAGTGACCATTGTATCTCCACTGTTTAAAAAAAAAAAACAGAGGTGCTGCTAGTGTAATGGGAAGCAGAAGCACACAAAGGTTGCGATACATAGTTTTACGAAACAGGTTTCGTATAGTAAAATAGTACTAAGGATGTTTCACAAGAATACTGAGTTGTGATCAAAACTTTCGCCCAGACAGGATCGACCCGCCACCTGTAAAGCAAGCAGGGGAGCAGCAATAAACGAAAGAGAAGGCAAAAGAGGGGAAGATTGGACACAGTGACTGCAGAGAAGATGTTTGTTATGTTCTGTATTGTTGTTAGTGTTTCTTTAAAAGTAGGAATGCTTCGCCAAAATTGAGAATCAATTGTTCGTGTGTGTGTGTGGTAGGGTGGGTAGGGAGTGTGGGCGATTATCTAGGTACTTTAGTGGAGAAAATATATGTACACTGTAAATGTGTGCTAGATGAAGTTGTTGGTCCTATATCTTCGGAAGTGCGTCGTGTGGTGTATTGGTCTCTCGGTGGTGGGGTCGCAACGTCGCCATCGAAGACTCATCAACTAAACCAAACGTTCGACAAAACGCAAAAAACCAACTATATAGGAATCATCAACACATTTATGAATGCAAGCTTCAGATGCTAAATGTCAGCTCCAATCTCTCAAACAGTGGTTTCTAAGAAATCTAGAAACTAAAGGGGAAAGTAGACATAAATGAAACTAACCCTCAATTTCCCTGGATGATGGTCTAACCCTTTAAACCTCTACCCGATTTTTTCCAACAATGAAAGGGGTTTTCGAAAAAATTTTAAAAACGCTCCTTAAAAAACTCCCAACGACATCCCTCAAGGAAGGATGCGTCCAGGCCACGCCTTGAACAAAAACGAGTTCCTGTCGCGGAGACCGGCATTTTGTAACACCATCTGAAATCGCCGAATTGAATGATAGGACAGAATGCCTCGACCACGAGGGAGACCGCTGAGTACTCCTAAACAGCTGGGGTTACTGTAGCGAAGGGAACTTTTTTTGGAGCTATAAGTCACAGACTTAAACTCACCGCTAATTCGAAGATTGTTGGCGCTGATCTGCGTAAAACTGAAGCGTCCACTCACGGGCTTTTGCGATGGAATAAGATTTGCTGTGGCGAGCTTGAAAGGATAAGTTTTTGTGAAAATCAATAATCGTTCAGATAAAGAATGACAAAAACTACACCCAACCTGCTGATCAGAGAACGGATCTTTTGGCGTTACCGGGATCTCCTTCATCGTTGCTCGTGGTTCGTCATTACTTGCTGAATCAGCAAAAGTGAGTGCTCCCATATGCACAACTCAGAACGAACAAGGCTCATCCATTTCTATCATTATTATGCGGTTTTGGGCTGATATATAGTTCAAAAGTCCAAAATAATCTGAGTGGAATTACTGTTCCATATGTCGAATTAGGGTATTGCGCTGTTTTGTTTTTAACAAAACCTGCTTAGACACAGAAAATGGCCAATATCCGGATAGAACAAGTCGTAGCCGCTTTTAAATGATGCGCACAATTTTCCCTCGAACATTTCAAATTCTTGCTTTCAGTTTTTTATACTCTTCAAGTGTAGTAACACATTAGGAGATCAAGAGACCGGTGAGATCAATCAGACAACCCTAGCCTCATGCAAAAAATTTTACACCTGCCATCAGACTCAATGCAACTTCGCCCCTGGGCGAAAAAGTTTTTACTATAGTATCAATAGGTTCTATATAGGTTAAATTTACAAACAGTCAGACAATAGTTACCATTCATTATCGCCATCGCTATGAGTCACGACTTTTAAACTAGGAACTGACAGTGAAAAACTGGGGTTCAAATACGGGGACTGCACTGAACTGAATCTCGTGTGGACAAGAATGAAACTGGACATTTGTTGGGCACTACGCAAGGTGCGGATTTTTTTTTTTTTTTTTTTGTGCGACAACCGTGAAGCATTTCTCCTTCCATCAATAAACAGGAATAGGCGTTATGCGCAAATGGACAGAGAATCTTGGGGTCGAGAGCAATTGTCCATTTTCACGAGAGCTCTTGCTCCCTCCTTAGCATTGTCTAAAGTATGCCTCCTTAATGGATAGTGACCATTTTCTCACTGTTTGAAAAAAAAACAGAGGTGCTGCTAGTGGTATAGGGAAGCAAGAAGTCACAGTAATCCAACCACCCCGATCACAGACATGATCGAAACCCTATGTAAGTCGATGACTGATGCAGGCTCTTGAGAGAAAAAATTGGTATTAGGTTGGAAAGAAAGTTCTGCAACACTCTTTCTAAAATTTTCTTTTTTTCTGAAAAATTCATAGGTAACATTTATGACTAACAAATGGTAGAGCATTCTCGAGGCTTCAATCCACGAGGTGGATATAAGTGCTGCAGTCAGTAGTTATCCAAGAAAATTCAAAAAACCTCGACCACTAGTAAATCCATACTCCGAGTCACTGTCTAGTACAAATGTCTCCATAACTATGGATTCGTGTCAACGACCAACACTATCTGCAATAGCTTCAATAGGCATGTCGTTCACCGCTACAGCGTGTTTCACCTTTACCAGCGCTTTCGATCTTTTGATATTTTTATAAGAAGCCAGCAGCGTTCCCCACACTCCATTACAGGTAGGGCTCTTACGGAAGCTCCACTACAAATTCTTCGTTATGGGCACCATTGTGTAGGTAGAGGTCTAGGCTGCGGAACTCCAGAAGCTGGCCGAGGCAGCTCGTCAGGAGCCCTCGTACCGCGACAATATTTATTTCTTTCATGACATTGCGAATCACCATGATCCGAAATGAGCCCGGTAAGAAATTCTGGAGCTGCGGCAAGATTTCTTACCTCTCTTAGCGTATTCCCCTGGTCGAGCTATAAATGACTGCCACCTATCCTGGACCTTAAATCATCATCTTGATGACGAAATAATTAGACGATCAACTCCAACTCGAAAGTGAGGTCGCCTCCTTTCTCGACCCGCACTCCGCTGGGTTTTGGCAAAGGAGCATCAAGAAATTTTCTGAGCGTTGAAGACAAGTGGTGGACACTCATGGTAGATATAAGACCGGTCAGGAGTTGTAAACAAAAAAGATAAAATTAAAATCAAAAATTTGAAAAAGTGTTGCAGGACTTTCTTTTCAACCTAATATATTGAATCGCTAAAGGAAAACCAACATTCACTCCGACTTTGAAATTTGGAGACGGATCTTTATTGTTGACCATTTCGTTACTTATAAGCACAGGGTTGCTAGATAACTAAGCGCAATTGTGTGTCGGAGTGACACACAATTGTCGCAATTCATGAAAACCCCAAAAAAAACTCACAAACTGTGAAGTTCTGACACTGCGCTCTTGGGACACATGGAGCCGTCACGTCGTTTCTGCTTTTCACATAGCCCGGAGCACAGTGACAACCGGCATTGCAAGTCGATGAGCAGTGTGGGACCTGCAAAAAAGGATTGGCGGAGTTGATTTGGTAGGGTTAAAGATGTAGCAAAGGTTAATAAAGGAAAAAGAATATATAATTGACTTTGCAATTGTCTGGTCAAAACCATAACGGAGTTCGAGAGTGTCACTGTACACGCAAACAATCATTAAAAGGGTGTCGGAGCGATCATAAAAGGCATAGTTCTTCCAACTTTTGAGCCAACTGTCGAAGTAGCAACGAAATATAAGGAAAAGTATGAAGTGAAGTCATGAAATATCACATAAGTAGAAAATATAACAGCTGCTTCCAAAGCAGTTTTTTTTGCACTTTTTAACCTATGGGAAAAAGACGTGGATGAGAACAAGTGAGAGCAGAGTACAACTTCTTCTAGCACAGTAGCGACTTTTGTGTTCGAGAATCAAAACAAAAGAAAATCACATACCCCTGGCTGCCCACAGTATTCCGGACAAAGACTACCACACGCCGACCAAACAGCGTTCGGATCCGGACATGTGCATCGCTGGGGATTCACTGCCAGTGATGCGATCACTGGACTGCAACAACGCTGAAACAATATAATACTCTTGAGAGATTGAGCGAAAGATGGCCAGAAAGTTTTCCAAATTTTTCGAAGCGCATGCTCAGTACCTGTTCTGCTGGACAATCCGCATCTGTGGCACAGGATCTTCCACCAACATCCACCGTTACGGAAGGGCATTGTGAGGAGACTTCTGAAGCATTCACAAATCCATGCACTTCTAAGATATTATTCAGTGTACAGTGATAGTTTCACCCAGTAGGAACATAAGTCATTTATTTTAACACATTCCCGACGGCATCCATTTTCGCTTTTAGTGTCCGGGCGCGATTTTGCCACCGTCTCACCTCATATCCATGGACTTTGTGTAGTAAATGAACAAAAACATAAATAGCTCAGAGTAATTTTAGTAACATTTGTGAGACCGTAATTATTGTGATACTGCAAAAATTACGACCAACGGTTGGCAGGCGATTATGAGCTGGCAGCCCAAATAAAGTGCCACTGGCGTGAATGTGTTAATCAATCAATTTTGGAACGTCTTGTCTACGTATTAACCCCTCCACCTGACTAATGTCTGTAAATATGTACCATCAATGAGTACCATGTGTGTACTTACAGGAGTCGAAGGGAGGAAGGGTAGCAACAACCAATTCCGGTGAGTGAGTTATCGCGCATCCCCTTTGAACGTTTGGAAAATTGGATACGTACTCGCAGTTACGGTCAACGAACTTGATTCGACTTATGGGGTATAATTCGATACTCTTGGTCAGATTCATTTGGTCTTGATGGAGTTGGCTGCGACCGGCGATTGTTCGAGTATACTCGAAACCTACTGTCTGCATGAATGGCGAGTTTATGAATGGGTTTGTTGATAAATCAGTCTTTTGAGAGAGTCCAGTTGAAATTTCAACACTGCAGAGCCACACTTTCAGAAACTTTGTGACTGGTAGCATTTACGGAAATGGATTGATTTAGTAGGTCGATCGCTTCAAATGATTGATACGAAAGGGTCAGCGCAGCTGAAATTGGTATTTTCGTTACCTCTAGGCTGCCCATACCTAGCACGCAACAACGGTTATCCAGCCTACTGGGACAACTGAACATCTACCATTTTGAAGAAATCGAATGGTATGATCGATTTTGCAAAGATTTGATCTCACGAGGAATTGTCAATTGGTCAGTCCGGCCGTTTGAAATGAGATGTAGTCCATGGACGCGTCTTGCGACGCTGAGCTCAAATCCGTTTTCGTTATCTGCGGAACGATTCTCTGAAAGAAGTTACGAGGGATTCTTCTCTTTGTGGCTTTCTCACTGTGGCACCCTCTACATCCCCCTAGATCTTTCTTTATTCCCTGTGCACACTGCGAAAAGCTGTTTTGTTTTGATCAATATGAAGAATTTATGAGCTTGTGTTCTTGTGTTTTGTTCCGTGTATCAAAGTTCATCATAATAGGAAACCTAAAAAGAAGGACGAGAAGGAAATTCCAGAGTTTGCCTCAGCCATATGAGTAATAAAATAAATATAGCAATGTGCGTTATACGCAAATCAACAAAACGATCACATATAAAAACAATCTGGGCTCGTGTGATAAGCCATGAAAAAAATGCAAAAATTGTGCGTTCCCAAGGATCCGACAGTGTGACCTCTTCCATATGAATCTGTGGGAGATATCCACTAGACCACTTGAATAACTACATAAATTACTTTCTGGCTCTTTGGTGAACCGTGGGGGATAGGGGGATGTAAAGGATGCTACAGTGAAAAAAGCCATAGTGAGAAGATCCCCTCGTAACTTCTTTCAGAGAATCGTTCCGCAGATAACGAAAACGGATTTGAGCTCAGCGTCGCAAGACGCGTCCATGGACTACATCTCATTATAAATGGCCGGACTGACCATTTGAGCATTCCTTGTCAGAGGAACCACGAGGTCATGTGCGGCCCACACCTATTCCATCAGTAAGAAATAATAAGATTACTTGATATGAATAGTCCTTTTTCGTCGGTGTTTGCTGACTCGGAAACAGTTGTAATCGACTCTGTCGTTGTCGGTTCAGATTTTTCTTGAGTGAAATCAGGACATTCATCGAATCGCACGCAGTCCGAATTCCTCCAATCTGTTGAGTTCAAAAACACCAGGCCTGAACAATTTATTTTCTCGTTAACATAAATCTGATTGCACCTCCAGGCGCCCTAATACTTAAGAACGTTTTAACTTGAATTTCAAACACTACCATTTTTACAGAAACATCCTGATTCGCAAGGTGTACAGCTTTGTGGGCGACGATTGTCGCAGCCAACCGGACATGAGGAACCACACACGATGAATTCCTGAATATGCAGGTGACACCGTAAATAAGAGCAAAAAACGTCCAACACAGCGTTGTAAATTTCAAAGCGCCATGCTGTTCACACTTGCTCTTAAAGGCAAAGTTCGGGCTCAGACCCACTTAAATGAGCCTTTACTGTGGCTAGAAGCGCTAGGTACGCAAGTGCAGAGGTCGCGTTACTTCCCTACGTCGAAAAGCGTTACTTAGACGCTAGGCGCTAAGGACTTTGGCAGACTCCACCAGCACGTGTCATGCTCCGCCACCGCTGATATCTTGTCTGCGTCGCAATAAAATCTGCTATGCTCTCTCTACTCGAACTTCCCTACCGCTCGCTCATATTGTCTCTTATCTCCCTGCCACTTTTGAACCTCTCCGCAGCGTAGAGTAAAAAGCCCGTATCCCATGTGTATTTCACAATTTTTTTCCCTTTTTTTTTCGCGCCTGCGCCACTTCACCACACCGTACTTTGCACGTGTGAGTTGAATAACCTGATCAGTGTTTATCTGAAAATTGCCTCCAATACATAGAGCTGTGCGCGGATTTGCGTGACCAACTGTAAAGGTCTAGGTTGAACGAGGATAGATATGCGTTGGTGAAACAAGACAGAACACCTCTAACCATAAGAGTGGAAATGAAGGTTCCCACGCGAGGATAAGTGCATTAAATCGTAATCGCTATGAACACTGCCGCATAGTCACTGGTGGGTCGTGATGTGCAGGATTTTTTCGTATGGAGAAATAGTTCAACACAATATCAAGAGTAGAGTAGCATTTTACCGAGAATGTGAAATTCCACGTAATCTCAAGGGTAACGCGAGAAAATTGTCGAAATATAAGCCAAACACTGAGAAATGCGCATCATTCTAATTCCAATCAAAAACTTGGTCCATCGCGCTTGGACTGCATCGCCATGTGTGATATATCGCCCTGTGGAGACAGGAAGTGCCGCATGTCAGTGTGTTTTTATTTCATTAATCCTCCCAGATTGGTGCTAACAGAATTACCCTATTTAGGCGATACTCGGTTGCCTCCTTGTAAGACGAGGTCGCATAGGAAGGAGCGTGTGGTAGCAGCGCCAGCGCCAATTTTCATGGTGTGCAATACTCCAGATTAATTCGAAAGCTTGCTCAACACATTAGCGATAATATCAGCCGACAACACAACCCCCAGCAAAATCTTTGCACTGATTCATCGTATAACTTCGTATAATTGACCTGCCCGCAGACTATAGCGTTCATTATTGGTCATGGTTCAAAGAACATAGCTTTAACACGTTGACGACAGCCCCTTATGCGTGTACCTTGGCAACTTTTTGTTTATTTTTTTCACAATCGTCATAACTTCTTCAATAATTCCACTACTGGTAATTGACTCACAGTTTTTCGGAATAGATGACGCATGCACACAGTTTTGAAATATGAAAAAGGCCAAATAAACCATAAAAAACTAGCCAGAATCGGGTAAAATTCTGACGCGCATGCGCGTCATGCTGTCGTCAACGTGTTAACTATGAGTTTCGCTAAAGGGATGCTTGAATGCTAGAATGCTATTTTTAAGAGCAGCTTGCTGTCTTCAGATGTTTAAATGTGAATTTTTTTCATGATGTTGACTAGTGCAATGGTGCATGATGATGCAATGCAGTGAAATCACGGCCACAGCAGAAGATGCCCTAGACAGAGCGAAGTGGCGACGACTAATAAAGACAGCGGACCCTGCGACTGCGCGGGACTAACGCTAGGGAGAAGAAGAAGAAGAACTAGAAGCAATGAGGCAACTGTTGGCGAAGGAAAACCTAGATCCAACCCCATCCACGAACTTTGAAGTGAAAACGGAATTCGTGTACCGAATTCCGTATGGTTGACGAATCAGGGACGGTAGCAAAGTACCCTTAACTCGCAATCAGAAGTAACGATCGGAGATTCTAAGCAAAGAATAAAGAATGGAGAGTGCGATCCAGCCCAGATCAAGCAAGAGCTTCCTACTTTAGATTTCAGACGACAAAATATCAGGAAACGAATCTTCTTCTCCCTAGCGTTAGTCCCGCGCAGTCGCAGGGTCCGCTGTCTTTGTCAGTCGTCGCCACTTCGCTCTGTCCAGGGCATCTTCTGCTGTGGCCGTGATTTCACTTAGGTCCTTCTTGATACGTCCTTCCACCTCTTCTTTGGGGCTCCTCGCGGTCGCTTGCCTTGCACTTCGAAGTCCATCGCATTCCTTATCGGGTGGCCTTGTGGTCTTCTTAGCACATGCCCATACCACCGCAGTCGCTGCTCCCTCACCTTCAGCTGGACAGGGGCAGTCTGCATGACCGCTCTGACATCCTCGTTCCTGACCCTGTCCAGTCGCGTCCAGCCGCAGGCCCATCTCAGCATCCTCATCTCAGCGGAGTGAAGCTGCCTTTCGTGATTCTTGTTCAGGGGCCAGCACTCGCTGCCGTAGAGCATCGCAGGCCTTACCACTGTTCGGTACACCTTCCCTTTGAGCGCTCTGGAGCACCTTCGGTCGCAGAGGATTCCAGTGGACTCCCTCCATTTCATCCATGCCGCGTTGATCCTCCCCTTTACTGCCTGGTCCACACTGCCGTCGGCCGCCAGATCACTCCCAAGGTATCGGAAGTCCTCTACTCTTTCGATGCTTTCACCATGCCCGTCCACGATCGGCTCTGCACCCTCTTCAGAGCTCAGGAACTTGGTCTTCTTGACATTCAGCCGTAGCCCGCCTTCTGCCAGGACCTTCTGCCATTGCTGCACCTTGGCCTGTAGTTCCTCTCTACTATCCGCTATCAGGGCGATGTCGTCAGCGTAGAGGATGGTCTTTAGTGGTCCTTCCATGAGCCCTTCACCAGGACATCTAGTGTCAGGAGGAAGAGGAACGGGCTCAGAGCTGACCCTTGGTGCACCCCAACCGTGATGTCCACTTCCTTCGTTAGGCCGTGTGGGGTGCGTATAGCTGCCTTCGCCCCATCGTACATATCCTTCACCAGCGAGACCAGGTGTTCTGGCACGTTCCGTTCCCTAAGCGCTCTCCATAGTACCGCTCGTGGTAGCCGGTCGAACGCCTTCTCCAGGTCGAGGAAGGCTAGGTAGCAGGGTCGGCGCTTTTCTCGATACTTCTCCATCACTTGCCTTGCGATGAAGATGGCATCCGTTGTAGACCTTTCGGGCATGAACCCGAACTGTTCCTGGGAGATGGGGACCAGCTCCCGCAGTCTCGAGTCGACCAGTCGCTCGTACAGCTTCATTGTATGAGCAGTCAACTTGATCCCGCGGTAGTTGGAGCAGTCCATCGCGTCACCCTTCTGCTTGAAGATGGGGACGATAGTGCTTGTTCTCCAGGCATCTGGCATCCTTCCTTCCGCAGTTATGTTGTTGAGGAATCGTGTGAGCCATCTTATCCCGTACTCACCCAGCGCCTTCCATGCCTCGATTGGCACCCCATCTGGGCCAACCGCCTTCCCAATCTTCATCCTCCCAAGTGCACACCTAACCTCATCCTCAGTCCAGAGTGCGATGGGACCAGCTGTGGCCTCTGCCCGTGAGTTGTTCTCGTGGGGGAACTCCTCGTTCAGAAGTGCACTGTAGTACTCTTCCCACCTCCTCTTGACTTCGGCTGGCTTCCTTAGGATGACACCATCGCTGCCTTTCACACTTTTCACCACCCTGATGTCTTGGGTAGCCCGATGCCGGGCCTTTGGCCAGCCTGAAGACGAACTTCTCTGCGTTTCTGCTTTCCAACTTCTCGTACAAGGCGTCCATTCTCCGTGTTCTTCGCCTTGGCGACGGCAGCCTTAGCGAGCCTCTTGCAACTCCTGTAGGTAGCGAGGTCTTCGGGGCTCCGGGTCTTCTGCCAGCGCTTGTATGCTTCCTTCTTCTGCTTCACGACTCGCTGGACCTCCTCGTTCCAGAACCACGCTGCCTTGTCTCCTCTGAATTCCACCTCGCGTCTCGCCCAGTACCTCCTTGGCACATCGCAGGATGGTCTCAGCCGCGTTGCTCCAAGTCCGCTGTATTGGCCCGTTAGGATTTGGGAGACCAACTTCCATTATCCTTCGTTTGAGGTCATCTTTCTCCGCTTGGTGCAACTTCCACCACCGGATTCTCCGCTCGGTTCTAACCCTTGTCTTCTTCGGGAGGTCCATGGCAATGTCTGCCAGGAAACGAATAAATAAGAAAAAAAAGGTTGCAAAAGTACCTGAAGATTATGGATCGCAGCTGCATTCTTTGATTCCTAACAGGTTGAGCTGGTCAGAGAAGAAAAAAGAGCACGGGATTGAAGAGGCGCAGTCACCACGTCTGACACGTATGACCCTCCAGTAAAAAGTCCTTCGGAGTACTTTTTACTCGTGGGTCAACGTGGCGTCTGCGCCTCCTCGACCTCACACTATTTCTTTTCTCTGCCTAATTACGAATTAGGTTTACAAGTTAACTCTCTAACTACTAATTAAAATGGTTTTTTTGGTTATGATCTAACTGTAGGTTAAACAAGACTTAATGTGTTGAGAAGCGCTCTGAACCTGTTATCTAAACTGACTTTGGTCTGAGCTAATCTCGACACGTTAAGTCTGAATTAATGAAGGTTTGCTACCGTCCCAGATCTTTACTTGATTAGTTACAATAGCATACAACCCACACCCTAGTTCGAAATATAATGATCCCTCAACAAGTTTTGCACTGCCCTCTATCTTCACTTTTGGAGATTTGACCCTGTTTCACATTTTCTGGCGAGGCACGTCCGCAATTGACAGCAAACTAACGATAAATCGATTGTATAGGTTGGAAAGAAAGTCCGCAACCTTCCAATTCTTGATTTTAAT